CTCGCGTGACAGGGGGAACTAGCTTCTTCTTCTTCTTCTTCTTCTTTCTCCTCTTCTTCGTGTTTGCCCCAGTTTTTTCTTTTTCTCGCGCGACATTGACGTCAATCTGTTCGTTGGACGTTTTTATGATACCGTTTAACCCAACTTCCATACTTCTTCACGCTCTTAATTCGATGTTTTAATAACGATGGTTTTTCTTTTTTTGTTGTTAAGGAATAATTAAGGCAGGCCACGGTATAATGAAACAAGGATTTGTCGAATGAGAAGGAGTTGGAGAGTCGAGAATGTTATTATTCGTTTGGATCGAATACGGGATTCGTATTCTTTGCACACTGACTTTGCAAATTCGATTTGCAGGCCCTGTTGAAGGAGAGTATACTGTCGTTGGGGAATTGTGTTTGCGAAGCGGCATTTATATGGGTCAATTAAACGATGTATTCTCGAGGATTCGTGCAAAGACTGGGATAATTAGAGACGGTCTATGGTTTAAAGTAACAATGGTCTCGACGAGGGAGAGAAAGGTTATTCACTGATCCGAGTTACGATTCTAGGTCGTAATTAAAGTTGGCACGGAGTTAATAACGATCAGCCAAGGGGGTAATTATTAGCCAAGGATTGAACATTATACAGTTTTATATATTTTTGAATTAATCACGATCCTTGTCGAAGCTGATTCCCCTTTTTCGAGCTATATAATTGCTCGGCGTAAATATGGGATAAAAAGCAAAGCGTAATTTTTTTACACTCACTTAGACTTTCGAGATTTCTAAATTGCACGTCGAGCAAACATATTAATGATGATCATTTCGAAACAAAGGTATGCAGCGATATAATTGTACCGATAAGAACGTCACGGTACGTATACACGGTTGGCGTGAATTTATTGCGACACAAGAATATATTAGTAATTATCAGAAATCAGCCAGTACACCACTTTGACACACACACACACACACACATACGTACGTACGTACACGTAAATATACGCTATTGTTTAATTCGTTTCCTTCCCTTTTGCGAGCACAATTCCCAGAAATCACGTAATTTGACGAATTCCCGCGATCACGCGCAGTTTGCCCTAATTTTTCTCACTCAAATAGCGCCACGTATTATTCGATATTCGATCGCCATCAAGACGGGATTCGATTTTACGAGAGAAGATCCGATTTCGAAAGGTGGAAAGAAGAATCGAGGGTTCGATTTCGATCATCGATTATTTACTCGAATTTGCGAACGCGATTAGGTATCAATCCCCTTGTTTATGTTAATATTGCAACCGGTCGGTCACGTAACTTAAAATTAACTTCTTTTTTTTATAGCTTATGCTTATTATTTGCGATTAAAACGTGCGGGCCAATTTTTTATACTTAAAAAAGAAAAAAAACACGAGAAAGATTTCCTTTTTAAAGAATTTGCTCCAGATTCATTCGAGGAAGGAAATTATAGCGTAGTCGAGATGTTATGTTATCTCTATCGGTTCTTGTGCTCGCAAAAACTCGCAAAAGACGATATCGAAACGAGTCTGATTCAATCGGTGATGTATCACGAGCGTATCCCTAATCCCTTCTCCATTCCACTTTTGATCCTGCGTGTAATTCCTTGGAATTAGTTTCGCTCGTAATCTAACTACCTGAAATATGTAATTAACAGGGAGAGAGTGCGCCTATTGTCTTTTGCGAAATTTTTTAGAAACGCTAGATGCCTGGATTAATTAAATAATCGCAACTTGTTATTTATAATTTGATTAAGTATTTCTTTAAAAAAGTTATAATTAGAATGTAAAAGCTCTTTCATCTGGAGAATAGCTAACAGTCGCATTTTTTTCAAAAAATATTTTGAAAAACGAATTATTCGATCGGGATTGGTTTATTAAACACTTGGAATTTATCCAATCACGATTGATTGGAGTGTTTATTATGATCGTTGAAGTAGTTAAGGGTGATTAACTGGGGCAAAGCGATCGTGGATCGCTCGTTTTGTTTAGCGCCACCGACAATTCTCTAATTGCGAGCAGTAAGTGAAAGTAATAACGACGTAATCGCGTCGCTGAAAGTTCCTCCTCGCAAGTCTCGAAGGGTTAATGACGCTTGCACACTGTAAACTTTTTAACTGCACGATTTTGGCTGCTCTGTGTCGTGATCACCCTCCCTCTGGGAATCGCCGCGCTGCCAACTTTTAATGATTTTGTTGAACGCGTTGCACGATTGACATCCATTTTGCACGCGTTCCAATCTGAAAATTTTTAGTAAAAATAGCTAAAATTTCGAATTTGGATAGTTTTTGTCATTGTCGGTGTATTCAATCAGTGGTGTGTGCAGAGAATAAATTTTTTTTTTTAGTAGAGAAAAGATGATTAATAATAGGGGAAAGAAAATATAGATACTAGATAGCGTGGAGATTATTGTCCAAAATCTTTTTAGATATAAAAAAAAAAAATGTTCTTTTTTCGAGTTTAGTCTCGAAATCTCTTCATCTAAATTTCACGATAACGTAAAGTGTACGAGATGAATGAAGCTGAAATTAACTTCTCTCGGCGAAACTTTTATACAGATCAATTTCAAAGATAATTTACATCTTCTCCACTCGAAAGATTTTGCTTCAACTCGTTCTTTTTTCTTTCGTTACACGTACGAAAATTTTCTCCTCTCTTATTTATCCAACGTTTTATTTAACAGCTTGTTAAAGAGCCACGCGATTGTACGCAATGCATCAATACCACTTGCCAGACACCATTACGCCACGTTTCGCATAATTCTCCGCACCGCATAATGATACGTTTCTTTATATCACTTATCCCACAAACGTAATTATCAGCCAGAGTTTTTACGACAGCATAACATTTTCTTCAAGTATCGATTATTAATCGCGAAACAAGGAAATCTCGTTATTAAATTATAAAAGGAACGCGGCCAAGTAAAGATCGCGATTGTCGAATCGATTGTCGAAATATTTTTCTTCCCTTCCTTCTTCTTTTTTTTTTTTTTGGAAGTTACGACAACATTCCGGGGAAAAATACGCGACCTTATAATCTTAAATGGACATGCTAAAGGAGAAAGTTGGCAAGACTAGCCTCACGAACCAAAGTGAACGCAATTAGCCAAGTGTTCGTGCCATTGAAATATTGTCATGGATCTATATTTTCTATATTTCCGTCAGCTGTTCAGAAATCGCAATATGCATATTTTATCCGTACATTCGTGTCTTTTGATTAAACGTCTCTTCTCTGGATCTAAATTAAAGGAAATTGAAACATACTTTAATTACAATTTACTCTCGACAAAAAGGTACCCTTTCCCCCTTATCTCTTCAAACTACGTTTCTGCGAACGCAAAATAAAATCAGAAGAAACAGCTTTCCAAGAAAATCATCAAACTATCCATCGAATCGGCATAACAACAAAAAAAGAAGAAAAAAAAAAGAATAAAACAACAAGGCAAAGAGAAAGAGAGGAAGGAAAAAAAAAATAGTCGAGTCACGACAATGTCGAGCGAATAAGAGAAAGAAAAAAATCGTGGAAAGAAGAAGAGGAGGAGGAGGTGGAAATCGACGCGTGGGCGCCTTGAAAAAGCGCCTTGTGATGTTAAGGTAAAGAACTTCACCGTGCCCCACCGTGGTATCGATTTCGCGGTCAACCGAAGGAAGTCTCCGCTCCCTTGTAGGTGTAAGTAAGTAAGTAAGTAAGTAAGTAATGCAGTGTCGGAGAAAATCTTTGCGTGACCGACCCGCTGGCCGGCACGGTTCAGAGTCCACCCTCTTCGCTTCGCCGCCCTTCGAGGCACGGCCAACCCCCGAGGACTGCGGCACCTGCAATCTTGGAGCGACACACAGAGCGGCGATGCTCTGTTCGCCGGCCGGACGACACCAGCCCTCTCCACGATCTCTCTACGCGCCTCTGCTCGAAATCGATCCATGGGATTCATCCTCGGTTATCTTTGCCTCCGTTCGCCGTGAACCGCGCGATATTTCCGCTCGGCCATCGATCACGAGATCCACCATCGTTCGTCTTGCATAATACGGAATTAGGAGGTAAGACTCTCCTCTGTCTTTTCGCCGTGCGTTCAACGCCGTTTCTTTTGTGGGATGGTTGGAAGACGATAATCGGAGGAGTGGAATGGAAAGAGGGTAGTGGAGAAAGGATTGTACGGCACACACGTGGGAATTTTGTGCACGTTGTGCTCGATCGATACCAGTCTTACGCGTGATATCTTGGATTCGTGGAAGCGTGAAGAACAGCTGGGAATGGTGGAAATTGGATTTGGTTTTAATCGGTATCCGATAAGAGAAGGGATTTGGAAGGGTATAGACAATATAGAAGACAGATAATTATCGATTCGTCTGTCTGATCGAACGAGGTGTTTGATGAAGCTTAATAAACCCGTAATAAACTCGATACTGGATACTTCAATTTGGCGAGATATTATATTTTATTATTCTTCAAGACTTAAAGATCGATAGAGGAAAAAAGATATTCACGTTTCGAAGTGAATTGGACTTCTCAAGCAACATGTATTTATTATGTTTCGTGAAGGCTACGTGTCTGATTAGCGCGATGTATATTCACTGGGAAACACTCAACGTCACGATCACGGTACAATTAAACGTAACAACTTTCAACATCATTAAAAAAAAGAAAGAAATAGAAATAATTTTCTTCGCAGAGCTGATAAATAATGTAACACACAATAGCAATTACGTCACCAGTTACCCAAATATTGACCAATTAATCAAAGTACTCCGACTTAAGAAAATCTAGTTCTAAGATCAAACAAATCCCCGGATTTGTCGATCCCACCCTCGACTTCGCCTCGACCTAAATTTACCCGCGATACACTACGAAAAATTCACTGGGTGCCAACTCGAAGGCGAGTATCGTCGTTGCTTTCATCGACGCCTCGTCATTTCCTTTTCTTAATCGACGCCTTTAAAAGCCCCTTTATCGACCGTGCAAACGTTTTTTAATAATGCTAACAGCCAGGGGCGCGGTCGTCCTTCGGTTGCAGGGTGCTGGGCGCCGCGAACGGCATCGGTGTACCCGAGAGGCTTCTCACGCGTTGGAGAAGATCCCTGACTCGTTGCTGCGAGTGTTGCCCGAGCATGAGGTGTCTGGCGTGTCGCACGGACTCGAAGGGTCTCACCTGGCCCGGAAACCACGCCAGGATCATGAGGATCGTGAGTAACAGGAACGAGCAACTCTCCGCCAGAGAGAACGTTCCCGCTGGCTGTTGGTCTAAATTCAAGAACAGGTGCAGGTACGGATTAAAGGTGGATGGAAAATTATTTGGAATTTATAACATTACAAATTTATACAATTATTTCGAATATTGTTGAAATTTTTAATCTTTCGATGGAGAAAATGAAAAAAATTGATACAGGATTTGATAGAGGATTCATTTCGAATAATGATTTGTATAATGTGTGATTTCTAGAGTTTTTTATTATCTTCGGTCAATCAATACGTACATACGTATATATCGAGTAATTTATTTGGTTGGAAAGTAGTGATATGGTTTTTAAACGTAGCATGCAGCAGATTATTACGATGAGATTAAATTAATATTGCGTCTCTAAAGAATTCGTCCAAGGATTTGTGTGACGCGGTTTTAATGATTCACGGTTAGATATTTCATTGTTAAAAATATTAATATTGGTACTTTCTAACAATTTTAAGATCGATTTTATCTAAATTTATTTAGAATCCATACATAAAATTTGTACGCGCATAGAAAGTAGAAAGTCTTGGTAACTGAAAGTAAATGTAATATCTCCCAAAAAAATTATCATAAATCATTCTTCTTTTCGCGTCAGATGCAAACGACTGAGGGAGATGAAATGTTGCTCAAGAAGATCGAGAGTCGCGCCTGCCGAGGCGGCTGTCTGCTGTCCACCGGAAAGAAGATTCGGCGCCATTTGCCGGCGTCTGCTCGACAATTGCAAATGCAAGCGAAACGCTGAGGCGGAGCGCGCAAGAAGCATACGTGCCAAGCACAGTCTTACCAGTGTAGCGCCACCTCCTCTATCGGAGGTAAACATCTAAATTAACCACCAAAGAGGAAAAAGAATTAACGGAAAGTTTATATCAATTAAGGTCCACTGATAGATGCTCGATATCGATCTTAATGGCGAACGCGCAATTTCTGCAATTCTATTCCCAAACGTGGAATTATACGTTATCAGAAATGTGAAATCATTGCATGCATAAATCTCGACAACCATTATTGCGTTGGATCTTTATATTTAAGAAATATAAAAATTACATCGAATTACACCGGCTCCGCTGATTTGATATTACTTCTTTAAATAACAGGAACCGAAAGCTAAGATACCGGATGTCCTGGTCGAGCACAACTCCTTAATGCGTGGCGCTATTCCCTGTCTACCAGTTCCTCTTGCTTGGTTTTGTCTCGTTTGGAACGTATTACTGCCTGGCTCTGGTAAATGATACTCTCCTCGTTGATGATAAAAAGAAGAAGAAGAAAAAATTGTTGAATCGAAAAATTTATTACGAAAGAAAAAAATCGATCAAACTCATTTTCCAGGTACGGTATGGAGCGGTTTATTTAACCTGTGCACCGGCCAACCAAGATTCTCAGCGGTGGCTGGACTGAAATCGAGGCTGGGCGCGTTCGTGGTGAACCTGGTGGTCGGGGTGGGTCAATTGTTCACCGTTTTATTCTGCCTGGTTGGGTGGGGCTGGAGCATCTGGTGGGGCGTCACTTTGGTCCGTTTAGCGAGTAAGTAATATTAACCATCGATCCAAAATCAACTGTTCCCGGTATGATATGCCGGAGGAGGTTTTCGTGCTCTTTTTTTAATGAGCCATAATTCAAGCTAGAGGGGGAGGGGAGGAAAAAATGTATTATCCGCGTTAAAAATGGATTTAACCTCATTCCTTCCCAGAAAGAACAATCACTTACCGAGATAAGAGAAAATTGAAGTTCTGCAATTTAAAAAAACACCGACTCAATCGTCGAGGAGCGATTTTATTTTCTTTTCTCTACGAATTTTTTACGATTCCAATTTTTTTTCTCGATAATAAAAAGTATATATATATATATATATATATATATACTATTACGAAGAATATATTCGTTGTATTA